ATGAAGTGTAAGGCAATGACCATTATTCACTTGTAATTTATTCCTATTCATGTACACGTTAAAATAAGAATAAATTCTGTTTAAGTAACAAATATATAAAGTATGATGTTAATGATTCAATTATATGAATTATTTCAGTGATATGTAGCGTCACAGTGTCGTGAAAGAGAACACAGGTGATGACAACCGAATTATATTAGCACGAAATTACTTGCTAAAATAGAAAAAACCATACTATAATACTTAATTTGCAAAATGTTCAATAATTGTCTCGAACTCCATTGTTCTTGCATTTCTATGCTAATTGCTTTATATTCCCGTTCTTCCTTTCTTGATCTTCTCCATCTTCTGCTGCCAGACATTACATTCCTGACTCGCGTCACATACTACTTATAACAATATAAGTAGCACGCACCACAATAGTATTGAATCTCATAAATATTTCGAAATAAATTTACCAGGGTATTTTAAATTGAATATTCACACGTTAACATATACCATATATAAGAAATATTATTGAGAAATTAAAAAAATAATAAAATTAGTACACTATTGTAATTAATTCGATCTGGGTTTGTTTATAACCAAATGTCTGTAGACTAAATAACGATATGAAAATGTTTAATGTAAATAAATATTTTATATCATCCATCCAACCATTTCCGTATATATACATGTGTATACATTGAATATGAAATCATGAATTGTTTTGTTGTTGTTTATAGGGATCCATATGCATTTGTTAAATATGTTATATTTGATAATCATAATAGTAATATATGTTACTTTCATAGTTTGAAATCATGAGTCGATTGAAGCTAGACCACCATGGAAAATCTTTATAGTACAAATGTTTATGATGAATAGAGTTTTATGCTTTTATGATAATTAAACATGGTAGTAATAGTATTATAGTGAACAAGAACACAAATAGGGACAATTGAATATAGATTGAACATAAAATTACGGAATCTTTTAGTAAAATCTAAAAAACTGGGATAGTGGAGAAGATTTGTAGCTCAGGTGGATGATTTTGATGGAGTATTGTTCTCTGAACTGGATGGTTTTGTCTTGGAGCTTTGATCGTTCTTCTGAACGAAATCATCAATACAAACTTCAGGTAGAAGTGATGTGTTCGAATTTTTCCATATGTGGTTCACAGCTTGTCTTGTACACCTCGATGTTGATTGGTTCTTGTTGACCTTAAACTTGTCATTGTCATCGTGTTAGATTTGAATGTTTCTTTTTTTCACACTCATCATTTTCTGTTCTCTTTTTTTCGATCTTCTTAACCTTCTGCTGCCAGGTATTTCACTTTCGATTGACGATACATCCTACTCATATCTGTTGACATCAGTAGAACACACTAAAGTATTATTGTATTTGTATTATTCTGAATGATAGGCAACTTATGGATTTAATGAAAACTCAAATAACAATATTCGTAAATGTATATTTCAATGTAATTAAGTTAACTGATATGTACAGAAATTATAAACAGAATCAAAGTGTAACAGATTTAGTTAACAGTAGTTGTGGATAAATACTAGAATTATAACAATTCGTAATCATATTGTATCTGAAATCTGCATTATAGTACCCAGCAATTGTATTGGAACCAATTTTAACGCCGGAATTGTATTTTAATAAAATAAATCCAGAACTATGTTCAATCAACATTGCACTGAATGAGTTATGTTTTTGTTTGTTTTAACACATCATTATGTTTACTAATCGAATAACCTATGGAAAGTTTACTACCTTTCGCTGTACAAGTCACACAAAAAATACAATAAGAGATGTCGTGGTGGCTGGATATATGTATTGAAAATGACGAACATTACTTAGATGTGGATTCCTGAACTGATAACATCTAATTGGTGCTCACTTAATACTTATCGTCAGGATCATCCAAGAAATCAGAGAAAAAAACTTTTTGAAATACTCTGCGCTGAGAATTCTATGTTGTACCGAAAATGTAATATTGAATAAAGCCATTAATAATCATAACTGTTATCATTATAATACCTAGTGTGTTCGACTATTAGAAATCATTGCGAAAAACTGTCATCAAAGCAATTAAACAAATAATCTTAATGTTGGTTTAATAGGCTTATGGGGAATTTTTTAGTTTGTAATTTACATCACGCTTATATAGCAGTAATAATTAACTTAATAACCCGCGACAAGTAAACGCTGAAAATTTTTCTATAGTCAATGATCGAATTACGACTATTCGATTCGCATACCGAAAATTTTGATCCTAGAAACTAGATAAATTTTATCATAGACTATTAATTAAGCTTTTTTTCTTAGTACTCTATATGTAATCTGTACAATCAGTTCCCATAATTATTGGTTTCTATAAATTAACATGAATGAAACTGTAACAGTTGATACTTTTAAATTTTATAAGGGATTAAATAACGAATGTATAAATTTCTAAGAAAGCATCTCTCTAACGTCATCCTGATGAGATTTGGCAGATACTAAACGATGATTGTCTTAAATTAAAATTAATATGCTAATCTTATAAGTATCAGTAACAGTAGACTAGTGAATTAAGTAAACGTCTTGTGATAATTAAGTCGTAAAACTAACATGAATTGTGGTGACTTTAAGATATTACATCAAAGAAGTCGTCAGTTGACATCCAAAAGTTACTGATCCCCTATAACTTATGTATGATACCTATTTTTTAAAATTTAGTTCAGTTAAAAAGTTACAACGTTGTTCGTTAGCTTAATTCTTTCTTACTAATAATTGATGAAATAACACATCATTTGCTCGAGAATAACCAATATCATCGTATATATGATGTATCAGGTTCAGCTGTATTGGTACATCTAACCACTTGACCTCATTAATTCCATTTCACAAAAGCGTAGATTAGTGATTAGAACATTTAGTTTTCAATTATTATGACGTAAATTGAAACCACGAGACACTTGTGTTAGTTTAGGAGTCTCGATAGTATAATCTTCATCCAAACACTGCGGTATAAAGTTGAGGACATTAAACTTGTGAGCTACATCATATCTTTTAACGAGGGTTCGAGTTAAGATTGATAGCTTATTACTTCATTTGAATGCTTTAACATTATTGTCAGCTGTTCATTACAACTAAACAAATCATATTTCCATAGTTTTCTTAGATTGTTTTGTACATGGTTTTGTATTAATTTTATTTGTTATAATTATTATAAGATCAGTATGAAAGCAAAACTAAATCCCATTCACAATTGATTATTTATATTGTCATGTGTTCATTGAATTTAACGTGATTAAGGTCATTTTGTTAACGTTTTTGAATAAAAATGATATACATGATCACATCATAATCAAACTATAATCACTTTGCTTTTATAGAAAATTCACTTTTTTGTTCACTACTATCTAATTAGTACACTAACTTTCTATTACCTCATATTACCTGTTATTCATGTACAACAAAAAGCCAATTTCCATTTTGTTATTATTAGACATACTGACAAACTGACTCGCAGGTTTCGATTATCATTGATGCGCTATGCTACTTGATTTAACCTTGTGACTGTTACGCATGTGTTCCAATATGACTGACCTTGGAATCAGACTATCGCAGTGACTCGGAAAAATATCTTTTTGAGCAGATCCTAGTTAGCTAGGCAAGACTTTCTTGATAAGACCCAATAAAACACTTGTATTAACCGCTTTATGCCTGATGGTTTGGTCGAACTCAAAGATATACATGATTATGAATATGTTCAACTTGAACAGAACGCACAATAATCAAGAAATAAGATATTCAGGGTATGAAATTGGAATATTAAGCTTACGATTAGATTACTGAGGGAAATATGACAGTAGCTTATCAGTCAAACAGAAGCTTGTGATTAAGGAAATTTGGAAATCGCAATGAACATAGGCAAAAGCTAAAAACGCCACGAGAAATGTATTACCTCTTGAATCCCCACCTTAAATGCAAAGTTTAAGTGTTCAGATTATATTAGGGAAGTTGACAACCACATAAATATTCACAACTGCAAGGACTAATGAAACTGCCTGAATACTCAACTCTCAGATGTAGAAAGGCCTTCGAACCCACAACTCTGATCAAGTCAGGAGCCTTTTTATTTAAGTGGCTTCTCTACAATTTTTTCTGAACCATTTGCACTAGCAATGAAATCTTGTATCCTCCAGAATTAAAGGAAATTTTTATTCGAGATAATTTTGACTGTTGTTCTTACATAATCAGTCCCAAAATTTAACTATCAAACGATATGTTCTGGAGAAGACACGTGGTTCACAGGAATTATTTTAGTAACAAGTAGGTTGCCTAAGTAAATATATATATAACCAGTAAACTTCTCTTGAGTATGAAGTGTCAATTACTAAGTCTTATTAGTTTATGCTGTACCTCAAGTACAAACACTATAACTTAATGGAAATAAAAACCAGTCAATCATCATCAACGTAGAACCTGTTCATCGGCCCAAGCTGCCATATTACATGAATTTAGGAAGATGAAACTGACAAGATGAATAACAAATCAGAATATTAACAATGATAAAGAACAGACTAAATATAAAGTATCTGATTTGCAGGAACAGCATAAAATTACACAACAATAAATATGGGATCATAATGACATTCAAGACTTATGGTAGGTTGGGAAATGAGCACAACTATACCACTACGACTGATTTTGATCTATGTCACTTCAAATCACGATCACCACACATATATCAATCAAGTAGTTTGCACTTAATAATACGACTAAGCTTGAAAGATGATGGTTTCATGAGTTGAAATTATGTCTTGGTATGTCCGTCCCTAGCTTTCTTCCACCTTACTCTAGCACTAGCTACCTATTGTGTCAGGGAGGGTTGTGATTAGACACACGTTTATAATAAATTTGACAAAGTACAACGCTCTTCACTTCAATATTAATCCGTTTTGACTTGTATCAATAAATACTCAGGGTGCATACATCTGATGAAATGATAGTGTTATTTTTTAGGTACTATAGCATTTACGCACACTGTAATATTTCCACACAAAAAAGAGCAGTTCGGAATTTTATTGTTATTTTTTATTTAGTACAAATATAACAGTCTTTAAATTTTATTTACCAGAAGATTTACTGTTATTCTAATTTGAAGGAGTATCTCCATTTCCAAACGTAGCACTCCAACCTAGCAGAGGCCATTTTATGTACCTGCTAGAATTTAAGTAGTTCTTAATTTGTGGTAAATCCTGATTAAAAAAAGAAAAGAGAAGGTGAGAGTTCGTCGAATCAGATGAGAAGTAAAAGCACTTTATCACGAACTTACTTCAATACATTGTTTGAAACAAACTAATTTTGGTAACTCGTTCAAGCACTGTGAGTCCATGTATAAAACCACATCAAGAGTGTCGTATAACATAAAGTCAGGATGAGTTACCTGTAGAGATAAATGGATTATAAGAACTCAAAAAGTAAGTGACTATACTCGTTTTCTTTATCTCATTTGAAAACAGAACTACTGTAATAGTCAGCGTAAGCTAAATATTACATTACTTTAATATAAACATAGACTTTCAATCTAAAAATCACTCTATCCCAGTGATGTGAGCAATTTATCTCAGTGAATTACGAGTTAAGTATTACTAAACATTTCTGCTGTTAGCATCTACAAAGCTCTCACGTTAGAATGACTTGAAGGTTGAAGAATCTCTATGATTTAGCTTGAAATTGGTCTGCTGACATAAAACCACATATTCTTTTCCTTTGTATTCATTTTAAGCATTTCTCTAGTTATTATAACTTAATATAGTGTTTTTTTTATTTTGTCAATTCGCTTCATATACTGGTATGAACGATCACAATGTATCTTTTGTTAAATCCCGAATTCGAGGTGGAAAATTACGGCTGGGATTTATGAAATATATATCCACGTTTCTTGTTACGCTGAAACATGATCACTCATAGACATAAGGTTATCGGAGTTCGCTTTTTAGACCAGATAGATACAACTAGAACAATGAATTGAAGGTCAAGTCATTAAAATTCCATAACTTACACAGTTACCGTTCAAATACTTTTTGTTGGACAAACGATCTTCGAACATTTTCAGCTTCCCGCGAAGTTCTTTGAGAAAATCAACTTTGAGGGTTTGCTTGAAATAAGTAAATTTTAATTCTAGCTCACATATTCCTTATTGCATGCAATTGTCCAAATACTCGTCTTAATATCCAAAATCGCTCCTTCAAGCATCGAAATTTCTGCACGTTCTTCTGGAGAAGCTCCCACTAGGAACATAGATTACTATTTTAGCTTACACATGTTGTGTTTGTCAGCTATATAACGTATGATAGCCATAGATTGTGTTAATTTGAAATCACCATCAATATAATAAGGAAGCTAGATAATTAAATTATTACAGTAAAATGGGTGTTCTACATTGGGGAACTCCAGGCCTAATTTAAATTTATCGTTGCGCCAGGCATCAACTTCATTGCGATCATATGCATGTTCCTCATATGTTTCTTCAAGATATTCCAAAAGAAGTCTAATTGGTTGTGCGAGCTAAACATTAAAGAAGATTTTAAATTATGTACACAAATACAGCGCATAATTATTACTATTTGTCAGATGCATAGACTAATTATCTGATAACATGAAAGTGGCAAAAATTATTCGAGTAAGCTGGTGATCGCTAAATAAAGTCACATGCATAACCTAACTAGGTGAATACATAAATGTTTGGTATCATTCAAAAAAAAATATCAGTACAGCTATTCATCCTGAGTTCATTTCATAATCAGCATACAAAAACGAGACATGGAAGTGAAAATTTACAATGTTGAATGGTATACTGAAAATCAAAACGTTTCATTTTTCTACATGAAACAACTATCTTTGTAAAACGTTCTAGAGAACGATATTATTGCATCAGGGTGTGAATTTAAAGCAAGTAGATACTTTTTAGTAACGAATATAATAGAGTTGAATCTTACCTTTAGTACTTTATTATAGAATTTTGACTTAAAATATGATAAATGTATTGCTGTTTATAAAAAAAACTGTTTTTTGCAAACCTTATACGAAAACGGAAAATCCTACAACAAAATGATTCCGTTTTTAAAAAATAAAAGCCAAATACGTAAGTAACAAAGTGTACTAATATTTCAGCGATTATAATAAGCATGTCATCAGCAATCATTTTTAGCGTCTTGATAAGCTAAGGCTTGATCCTAAACGTGAGAAGTACGTCAAATTTATTCGTTTTTATATCATAGTCTGTTATTACTAGATCATTTTTACTGAAAAAAAGTGGGTTTTTATCATCTGCATCGCTACAATCGGAAACAGATAGTTGGACAACAGAAAAAATGCTTTCAACTATCAACACTTTTAAAGAAAACTAAGCTTCCGTTAAACATATAGCAGTAAATAAATCTCCAAAATAAATAAACACATAAGTCTTCGACAATGATGTTGATTTCATTAGTTTTATTGGAAGCCTTCTAGCTGAAACCGCTCAGATAACAGTTCGCACCAGATAATCATTGGACAGGCAGCGCTTCACAACCAGACAGCTTAAATACATACTTAAATACATACTACCTTTCAAATATATGTATTTGAACACCTTCATTCATGACTTTGGGTTTGACTGGGCGTTACAGAAAACAGTGTTCTCAAGCCCTGAATATCTGTTACATCTTTAAGCACTCACTTTTGATAACTCAGACTAGATTTGCTTTGTTAATTCAGTAAAATAATTCGAAAATCGGTTAAAACTTCTCCATATTTCTCTACATTAACAGAGTTTTAATCACCATATCAGAAAACACTTATTAGTCCCAAATTCTTACTTATGAACCAATGCAAGGAATCTGGGCTGAACACTGGAAACATTGGTTGAGCATTGTTGACAATTTTAGATTCTTAAAAATTATTTAATAGGGAAAAATTAGTAAATGGTTATATGTCGACTTTAAATATCTTTCATTCAGTTGATTTTTGTAGTATTTCAATTTGATTCCTGTCCATTCGACTTTGATTATTTCATTTTAATATTTTTCAGCACAAAATTAATTTGTTCTAATTAATACATCATGGTTTTTTGTCACTTTTTTCAATATCATATACGATCGAATTAATTTTAGGTGATTTTGTGTACAAGTAACAATTATTCAATTCCATAACTTCTGTAATTGCTATTCAGTGCATAACCGAATGGATACAAAGTTAATTTGATTTTTTTGGGCATTTCATCGATACGTCATTTTTATACAAATTCCGAAAGTCTTGTCTTTTTTATTTTAATGCAGATTACTAATATACTGTAGATCACCAACGTAGATGATCTATGTCGAAATGATTGGAGGCCTACTCGAGTTAGACGTGAATGGTGTGACGAACCAACTAACGTCGAAGTCACACCCCGTGGTCAGCACCTTACGTGGACTACCCCCGTTGACTTATCAAGGTACTATAGATGCTCTGAAGACTGTACAACACAAAGGACGTTATTACAGAAATATATTAGTTAAAGTAGATACAAGCGAAAGTATGACCACTGCCGCATGGGCCAGTCCATGGCATACGATCACGTCGGGCTCACCAATGAGGATGATACAGGTATTCAGTGTTTGACAACGCTTCTACCAGTAACACCTTCTAATATAATTTGTCCCCACCGTGAGAAATCAAAAGACAGAGTCGAGGAGATCGGAAGAGTGTGTTTGGCGATTACCAATATGTCGGAATTCTCTTATCTAATCTGGCTAGCGATTGCGATAGTTGTTGAGCACAGCGTTACCACACGTGATCTGGTGCGGATGCATGACCGAGCGCCTTGAGCTAGATGGGTCCACTAAAACATATGGTCAGCATCCAATGTCGAAAACTTACAGAGCTATTTATTTTGGGGATTTATTTACCGCTACAATACTGTGTCAGTTGTTGGTACAGACAGCGTAATGTATTCGGAATGTCTTCTAAATGATTGCAATTAGAAATTATTGTAAACATCGCAAAACGGCATAAACATAGTACTTATGAATATTCATTTGTTATTTTAGTTTATACACTACTTTTAATCTTGTTCTCAGCTTCTTAACGCTTCGAAACCTAGTTCTGGAATATAATACTAGTTAGCAACTAATCCTTTTACTATCTCTCACAGTTTATACTACATGTCAACAATTTCACTCATATGATTGTTGGTGTACTAAGTGAAATGAATTAGGATGAAGAAAATTCATGTGCAAGTTTTCTTCGCTAATCAGTTTTTATTTAGATAATAGTGTGTGATAAATCATTAATACTCGACTAGGTTCATCGATCAACTGCTGCCATGAACTAGAAATGGAATACATAGATGAGTGCTTATGATTTCACCATGGAGTACAGTATGTCTAATAGCATACTACATGCAGATTTTCTACCACGCAACTCATATTTTGAGAAAAGACAAAGTGATTGTATGTTGGTACCACCATTACAGGTTGATAGAAGAGAACATGTAAAGGATAGTCATATTTTTAAACTGCCATAAATGCAGTGAAGAGGTTGAAATGTATATTGCAAGAGTAGCTTCCTTAAGTTTTATAAAAAGTGAGAAGACATCACTACATCCTGAAGATTTTTTGTCCACCACCCAACACCAATATTTGCAGTACAAGACGACCTTAACCCCAACCATTTAAGAGCAGAGAAAACTGCACTAATTGTTTACATAAGCTACTTGGAATCATGGTATCGTATTCATGTGGACTTCCTTGGCACATTTTTAAACTCAGTATCCTTTGGTTATTATAGATTCATACTACAGGAGTGTTACTCATGAACAGTCCTTGCAAAAGCTGTACTCAAAGAGCAATGAAGAGGACATAGATTCGTAAAGGGATACCCAATGTATAAGTAAATGATAACGAAACCCAGCTGGCTTACTGACATTTAGTGGCTTTATCAGTTTACAATATGGAGATTGTGACGAAATTATTTCGTAATTAGTTTTTTATACTACCTGCATATCTCTCATTATTTCTCATAGATTGTACATTTACTATGAGTGACTGTAAAATAGTTGTTTAAAATCGCATGACCTTGGATACTTCCATTTATGTTTTGAATCCCCCATAGCACGACACTCTAGTAACCGCTCCGAGATACACTGCTACATATATATATATATATATGTCTCTTGTTCTCAATTTTCTGTTGTTGTGATAACTGAACTTTAATGCATCTATTATCTTCATTTACAGACCACAGTTATATTCTCGTTATATACCTTGTCTACTTAAACAGCTCTAGTTATAACAGTCTTTATTGGAATTATTAATTACCCATAATTGCGGATTATTATACTAAATGCAACTAAAACACTCCAAGTCCTTACAATTTAAGTAACGTCCAGTAAATTTTTCTTGCCTTTACAAAATATATTTAATATATTAATACCTTGATTTTTGAATGCAATAACTTTTTTTATTACTTTTCAGTTGATACATTTCTGGTCCACCACAACAGCACCACATTCTGAGTCCAAACTCTAAAGAGTGTTACCACATGAGTGAACCCAGGTAATCAAAAATTACCAGGAAAATTCATCAAACATAGCAAATACAATCGAAGACACGCGGACGAAAGCGTAAATAAAGCAGAAAGACCAACTTTCCCCTTCGCGTCGGTTATTTAGGGGAAATATAGATTGCTACCTTACATCGTATGTTTGGGGGAAGTTTGTAGACAAATGTACGTAACGTGCTATGTTTGAATAATGCCGTTTCCTATACTTACATTCTCACAAACCTCTACAGAATAACGTGCTGTTGTCATAGATAGACTTATAACAGACAGTGGAATAAAATAAGAATGGATTTTATGAAGAAAACATAACTTGCTTTCATTTAGTCGGTCTGCTAGTGAAAAGATGACAGAAGGTAACTGACTTTGGCAGTGATTTATGTTGCATTAATAGTAGTCAACACTGAAATTATTTGTAATGAGTTTCCATCAACTGTAATAGTATTCTCATTGGTCCAACAGGCGTTACAAAAGGCATTACCAGTGGAATAAATATTTCATGTTCAACTTCGTTTTCGAAAACATTTTTTAAACATGCGCTTATTTTCTAACTTGCATGGGAAACTCTTTGAGTGAGTGTTGAGAAAGCCTGTTTGATTTGAAATGCATTCGCAATTATGTACACGTGCCTAATTAATGACACAACCTGTTCTTTCTTTTTCAGATCCTTTCAATTTACGATAAGACTTGGAAATTACAATTAAAATACATAACAATCGATGCTTTAGCATCTGTCAACTACTCATAATGCTGCACAATATGACCTTTTTCTATAAACACGTACCATTCTTAACGTCGATTGCTGTTGTCGTGTGGTGTGTTATAGAAATAAAAGCGAACATAAGAGACATAAGATTAGATCATAGGTGTGTTAAAAACTGAAGCAATTTTGGATAGATCGGTGTGTATTTAGGCGAAAAGTAGACAATTTAGCGACATTTAAAACATAAAACGATATAAAGGGGGAAGTCCACATTAATTCCTTCTGTCAAGTAAAAACCAGACATTTAGCCGCGTTTCCCCTTTATTCGCCATTATTTCCCCTTTACTTATTGCTTGGGCAGAACCTTACTAAAACTCCAGCAATGTAAAATAAATATAGAATTTTCGTTTTAAAATGATACACTTACGCCTCTGATTTTCCAATAACCCAGTTTAGGTGCCATGACCAACAGATGTGATAGCGAGACATGACAAGGCTTATAAGGTCGATTTGTTTTACTGCTACCCAAGGCTATCTAGTTTCTGCATCCAATATACAGTTTGTCTCGTGATTCAGATTCTAACATCGACGAAAGGACGCTGACGGCCTGTTCTGGATTTTTGCTAGTAAGCTACTGTGATTGTCTATTCTTCTCTAAAATGAGTCAACTGAATGTGAGTACACCATTTCTTCGATTGGAAGCTTCTAAGAATTGATGACTCGATGCGGTGCCATAGGTGTTCTGTTCATTCACAGCCTTTGAACTTGCCTGACATCCCCCCGTATTTTCCTAATCTAGTAATAAAAAAGATGAAATATATCATGGGATTAATAATTTCTAAGTATTCTAAACAACTAAAGATGCTGCTGATACTCAGTGTTGAATAACACCAACGATGTAACATAAAAACGATTCTTGACAAAGCTGCTTTCTGTAACACCCAGTCACACCCAAAGTCAGGAATGAAGGGGTTCGAATATATATATCTTTGGAAGGTAGTGTGTATGTAAGTATGTTATCTAAGCTGACTGAATGTGAAGCGCTGCGTGTCCAATGGTTATCTTGTGCGAACTGTTATCTGAGCGGCTTCAGCTAGAAGGCTTTCAGTAAAACTAATGACATCAACGTCAATGTCGAAGATTTGTATGAATATTTATTTCGGGAATTCGCCGCTACATCTCACTTCAACTCTTGTGGGTTGGTGAAGATCTGACGACGTGATCAGGCAGACGTTTTGTGATATGTGCTACTTATATCGACATAATTGGTATATACCCCATTCCGGAATAGAATGTCTGGCAGTTTAATCATTTAACTGCAGAACTGGAAAAGTGAAGTAAACAGAAGGAAGCTCAATAAATTTAATAAGTACTCATCTATGAACTATGGGACTTTATGGTCCTTACAAATATGAACTTTCTGGCCAATTATCGTATACTGAAGAAGTTCCTCTGCGGTCGCTAAGTGTTGTAGAAACCATCGTAGTCACGTTGATTGTGTCATTCGATTATGTAGCGTTAAACTCGACAAACGGATTTACTTCGAACTATGCGGTCTTTAGCCAGTCGATGTTAGACGTTGTCTCTTTTGGTGCAGTGTGTAGGTTTACGACATAAAACTTAGTAAGGCCCAAAGTTGCAGCTTCGAGGGGTTGGTGTACCAATTCGCGAAAACGTGCATATTAAGTTGTAACACAGATTTAGCGACAACGCCGACTGTTTGCGATTGGGTGAAGGTAAGCTTAGATGAACGTATTTAGTTTGCAAGTCAACACACACTGCGTTGTAGATCCTTTACAACATGAGTGGAAGAGCGTAGGTCCAACGTGATAATTTTGTAGCTGAAATTAAGTCTCTCAACTTTCGATGAAACCGTTCTACCGACCCATTGGTGGAAGACTGTCATTCAGAATCGTGTAATCCCTAAATGTTTAGTAGAAGGGGAGGAAATTACGGATTTCTGATAGCAAACATACGAGCGTTCACGCATCCTCACGTCTTTATTAATAACAGTCTAGGAAGAACTTCTTGCGATGAGCTTGGTAATCGCTCAAATACCCGAATGAGAAGCGTTGTTCGGATTACTCAAAAATTCGGAATGATAATGTTTCGGCACGACAGAATCATACCTACCAGTGAGTCAAATAGTCAAGTCTTTTTACCTACACCTTCCTGTTTGATCTGTAATTTTAGAGTTGTAGACGATAACTCGTTTTGAAAACCATTGTTTACTTCTTGAATATAGAAGCGTTTAAGATCGATTGTCCAGAAACTGTTCAGTGAATATATAAATGAGGATTATTTTGCAACCTTATTGTTTACCACAGGAATATGCGTCTATCATAAGTAGACTGGAGGACGAAATTCTGTTTTCCGGACTCTGAAGAGAAGTAACTGTTCGGAGAGGGGTTACTAGAAAATGCGAAAATTTTATGTAAAGGTCGGATGCTCGAACATCAATTGGTACAATATATGGCTAAGAGTTCCCTAATGAAAATGTCCAAAACCTTTCATAATACGAGGCTTGCGAAATTCGAAGCCAAGGATGATAGGATAAGAGAAATATTTGAACAAGGGTTGATGTGGCCATATTTTTGGAATGCAAATTAACTAGTCGTCATTAGAAATAAGCTGCATAGATAAGTCAAAATTGAAGTGATGAAGACGCTTGACCGAGGGCATTCAACTAGATCTGTGACCAGCATATGTAATACGTCCGAGATCAATATCGAAGACTTATGAACCTGTTTATTGAAGCGATTTGCTTGCCACCACAGTTGACCGATGTCTATCAATTCTTCAGGCACTTGTCTCTTCTTAAATCTTCTGCACCCAATATTTTATCTTTATGATCTCTCGCATTGTACCTAAATCCTCGAATAACTTCCAAACTGACTAAGCATCGTTCAATCGAGTGACTGTGCTATCGCTAGTTGAACAGTAGCAAATATCTTAGACAAAATCAAAACAAAAAAATCTGTCGGAATATGCCTGACACAAAGGTATTTTTTATCGGACACTGAATATTGGAGGGAGTTTGAGTTGTTCTGCACTTGAGGTTGTTCGAATATGTAGTTGAAAATCGTTAGAAAGTAAATGGATGGCGAAATGGACAAGACACCGAAACTTCAAAGTTTACCCAAGTCGGTTTTCGTGAATCCTATGATATGTGAGTTTACGAATGCTGCATCAGTTTTGATTTCATTTCAAATTTATTGTTGGAATATTCCAACAATTTTTAGTGGTATAAAGATCATTTGTTGTGTAGACGTATTTTTTAGTCGTGCAGCATTTCGTTAACTTGACTCTACAGTTCTGCAATTATTTGTTCGCCGTTTTAAAATCTTGGATGACCAGATCCTACATACACCAAAAATCACCTTATCCAGTGGAATATATACGTGTTGCAACACAGGATTATGATCTTGTCTATATTTTGTTTACCGTCTCAGAGACGAATTTCAATAGTAATGAGGATGTTTAGCTTAAGGGAACCTCCCATATCTCATAAACGTCCGCAATATGCTCCTGAAACATGCTAGTGGATATTTAAATTCTGGGTCTAATGATTGAGCTTTAAGTACATATTTTTTTACTGCTTCACTTCTGTTTTTATACTCATATTTTAAATGCTTGACGCTGCATATGAGGTCTTCTATATTAACTCTCAAGGTTTGGTTACTCTGTGAGTGAAGTGGACTCCATATTCGACTATTTAATGTCTGTACTAGCAGTCCTTTTATGCAACTGTATGAGATACTGGTCTAAAGTAGATGTTGTGCTACAGCTTTATAAGTGGAAATTCACTGGTCATTTTCACTTGTCTGCTACATACTTATTCCTACCGTATAATAGTCTATTAAATTTAACTCGTTAGAATATTTGTATTCATGCTAAAATGAGGCTTCAGTTCTCTTAGGATTGTTATTTTGTTTTTGTTGCTACCATCAGGGACGTTATCCTCAATTTGGGATCTTCCGCGGGGCTATTATTTACGGACGAACCAGTCAGATGTAAGATAGTCTTGAATGTTGGCACGAAATTCATTCCTACATTTGGCTAACTAGAGTTTTGGCGTTATAAGTGATGCCAGTTCGTGATGAAAACCCTAAATCTAATTTTTAACTGTAACCATTAATTGTTACTCATAATTCTAGTTGGTTTATGACCCTCATTTCGTCCTAATCAGTAGGTGTCCGTTCTCAAGGTCACTTCAACTTCACTCAAAGGTCGTCCATAAATTATAGTACTACCGAATCTTCTTCCTCTAATTGGTCTCAATATCGTAGGCTGATTACACATCGCTATTACCACTTGTGGGTTACAAGAACTTTACAGATGTCTCTTGTATTTTTATCTGAACCTGAACATCACTTCTATGGTAATCGATGCTGTCGATGACATTCGCAAATAGTTGCTTCCCAGCATTTTGAGTTCCTGTTTTCTACACCAAATTCGTATTTAGTCTGGATGAATATCTGCATGAGGGAATCGTTTATTTATGGAAAAAAGGAAATTGTTTAACTTTTTCAACTGTACTTATATAATAACATAATCATGATTCTCAAAGTAATTTTGTTTTAAAGACTGAGTTATTTACATTCGTTTTGTTATTTCAGTCCACAATTTGGAAAATGAATACTGGCTTAAAAAATGCTCTTCACACCCTGAATACGGAGTAAGCTTAATTACTGTTACGTGAAATAAAAAATAAAATAATCACACATTATAATTGTTGATTAACATTACTACGCTCTTGGATTTTGTACACCGGAAGATTTTCAAGAATAAATATCAAGATTAAATTGTAACATTCCAATATTTTGCTGAACTATTTTGGTTCAAGCCTTCTTGTATTCTTTGCATAACGAAGGTTCACTATCGTTAAGTAATTACTCCATCATTTTACTGTCAAATTTAGCGAATTTTTTAGTATAACAAGATCAGAAAATGGTTTCTGAATTTCATTACCAGTTATTATCAGATGAACCAAGAGATACTTAAATCTGTCTTCATTGTGACGAGTAAACATGGTCAATTATCGGTTGTTGTGTAACATTTGCTAACTGATAAATCGCTCAGTAATGCTATTTATCCTAAATGTTTTGTAAACAACTAACAGCGTTTAAGTCCTTGTTGTATGTTATCATAATTAATCAGCGAATCTGTTTTGTGAAAACCTTTCGTTCGGGATTTGTCCCAAACAAAATCCATTAGTTTGATAACTATATCCATTCCAGTGTCATAATAACATTTCATCTACTGTAATCGTAAGATTATGTGAACCATCAACTTCTGAATGTACCAATGTCACTGAATCGATGAATACGAATCAACAAACAAGATACGAGACTATTCAAATTACGTTACTGCTAGATCTCAAAATCGACAATAAAATAACATTTATTGCGTTAAAAATTAGACATATTGCTAATAAGGGATGCAATAAATAACTTTAATTTTAGTTACTACAGTGTGAGGCTTTTGATTATTTATTCGAAACCATCTCACCTACTTTGGCATAGATGATACGTTTTGTTGTTAGCTGTAATACAATAGATTCGTCAGCATAATATGTAGCTAGTAAATTAAATTCAGTGACTGCTGATCAAGGGAAAAATGTGGAACCGGGCATTCGGAGCTCCAAATTTATAAAGGTTGCTGAACACTCTTTTATTAGCTCAGTTTTCATCGGGGTCATTAGTTCTGGGTACGACTCACGTGCTTTAAACTGAATATTCCCAAATAAGGCAGAACGCGTCAGAATCTTCTACTTGACACTGCGCTAGTTCTTTTGCTTAGACTTATTGAATGCTACACCAAATTAATTACTTATCAGAATATCCCAACTGCAAACAAATTGCAGGTCGATTTTCTTCATCGATCCTACTTCTTTTACTACCTGTCTTTCATTTCACTTCTTTTTACTGTTGTAAAGACAATTACAGTGTTTCTGAATTTTAGCTACTTAAACCTTCTGAAGATGAACAATCGCGTCCCATAAGCTCTTTTTCCCCACAAATTTTACGGGAGTTTCATATTTTGT